GAGTCATTGATAAAGCGTTATAATAAATATAAGGATTATTATTATTTATTAATACACATTTATCATACATCTTCCCTATTACCCTCCCCTTGTTATAATGAAGACAACAGTGCATGTGAAGGACTGTAATACACATGTATCAGACACGCTCCCCTTGCTATAATGAATAGAACAGTTTTTAAAATGTAAAAAACACTTTTTTTATTTTTTTTCAAAATGTCCTATTTACATTTTTATTTTTTCACACACAAAATCAATAGTTACACTGATTGTAACACCCCCAGGACCATCTCCTGCTTAGAATTCCCCAGATTATGGGAAATATCATGATTTTCTGTTAAAGCTGCTCAGCAATGGAACTCAATCCCACCTCCAATCAGAGACCAGACCACATTCACTTTATTTAAATCCCAACTCAAAACCTGGTTAGTGAGGAATCAGCAGTGCCAACACTGACCCAATCTTCTGCTCCTTACAACCCACCGTGTGTGTTTTAACATGTTCTTTTGTTTTGTTTTAATGTTCTGTATTTTAAACTGTTTTATTTAAGTATCCCAGTAATGACTGTTGCATGTTTTAAATGTATTGTATTTACTTGTTTAAAATGAAATGTGTTTTAGGTTGACTTTTAAAATCTGTCCAGGGACTACAGATGAAAAATAGCCTCTTGGCTAACTCTGGCACATTTACAGAAATGTTCATTAATGTGCACTGTCCCTGTTAAATAAATGAATAAATACATAAATGTTTTTTCACTTCAGTCAACATATTCATGTGTATGCTGTTTTTGACACAAAGATGCATTACATCTACAAACAGAGCACATGATACACTTTTGGTGTGTGTTTCATTTATTCGGTAATGTTACAGAATGTTTCGGAAAATGAAGATTCCAGGACCACTTTAAATGTTTCGTTTACAATACTATTACTATATATGAAAGCAAAAATAAACACATTTTCATTTGTTATGGTTGTTTAATTGAAAACACAACATTCAACACATTTTCAGAAAAACATATTACATTCTACCAAGTTAATGTCGTAGTGCATACAAGGTAATAGACTTAACGATTTGCACTGCTGCTTCTCTCCGCGTTTCATTTACAGTGATCGGTTTATCGTTCAATTCACATTGCCCAAGTAGATGTTTAGGGGTCTCTTGGAAGTAAACGAATGCATTTTTTATATCAGATAAGTGCATTAACATCACTTGCAAATTCTCTATCCTTTCACCTGCAACGATTATAATCTGCTTTGCTTCTTCTTCGGTTTCACCATTATTAGCTCTGAATGTAATCCTTTCTAGGGCTTCTTGTGCTTCTTGTGGTTTGTTGAATACCTGGCATAGGATTTGTTTAGCTGTAAGGACAGGTACCATATAATTGTCTTCAAAAGCTTTGTCTATGTCGTCACACGTTTTGGCATATCCTTCGATGTAATGACAACCGCTACTAGAATAGAGATCCTCCAACAGTCTTTTAATACATGCTCTGGCACTGTCGCCAATTTGGGCAATTTCATAGTATCGTGCTTTTTCTTTCATTATATTGAAGCAAAGCTCTGCCATTGCTTTTGGTATTTGTTCAACACATTCGCAGCAGTCGGTTAGCGGTAGATGATCTATAAGATTATTATGATCCGGTAATGGCTCTACAACACTGTTTTCAATCGTCCTCATCATCACACTTATTAAAAGGGTATTGACTACATTCTGATCAATATATACAGAGCGTTTTGCATAGTAGTTCCCCATTTTAATTTTATTGAAAAAGTCAATGTATGGAAAAAAAAAAAATCCCTGGCTTCAATCAACCGCTGGTTATTAGTCTTCTTCTTCTCCATCCAACTCGGCATGGATCTTTTCAAGTCTCTCCTTGAGGCGTCTGCAGTTTTTGAGATTGTGCAGAAAAGCCTCCGAAGCGCCTTGGATCCTCCATTCATCCGTGTAAATGTCTTTATCATTAAGAGTCTGGTCAATCTCAGTAATGAAGTCGGCGAGCCAAGGTCTTTTCATTAACGCGTTGTAATTGTTTCTGAAGAAAAAATCGGGCATGTCATTCAGACAATCGTGTTGCCTCTGGCCGGGGTGACTGACTCGGCATCCGTTGCAGATTTCTTCTCTATACCGATGCATCACCCTCTCCACAATATCAACCAACACCGATTTCACTGTGTCCATAAACAGAGACGTCTTAGCCCAAGGAACAACATCAGCAGCAGTAGTACTTTAAGATTCGGGTGTCCAAAATGGGGGTGATGATGGTAGTCCGCTGCGAGGGGGACCCAAGTTCCCATCGGCAAAAACACGTGGGTTTGCTGTCCTGGCTCCAAGATGGTGGAATGAGCTCCCCATTGACATCAGGACGGCAGATAGCTTGCACATCTTCCGGCGCAAACTGAAAACTCATCTCTTTCGACTCCACTTTGAGCGTTAGAACTATTAACGAAGCACTTTTATACTAATAAAGGACTGGCTTACCTAAAGCCAGTTGAGTAGCACTTGAAATGTTTGGCTCTATGAAACCTGATGTACTTACATGATTCTGTTTTCTTCAAGGTTGTGTCTTCCTGGTCGAATGTACTTATTGTAAGTCGCTTTGGACAAAAGCGTCAGCTAAATGCACTGTAATGTAATCAGGAGTTTGTTCCTGGCTGCAACTCGCGGGGGGAGACTTGGTTTTTCTCAGATCCATGGCTAGTTTTCAACGGTCGTCTTAGTGGGGTCCTTCGTTTTAGATGATTTGCTGAGTGGAGGGTGGGACTTATTGCGTTGAATGGGGGGAGTCATCTGTAGAATTGAGAGTTTTTAAAAAGTTCTTTAAGCTTTGTAGCTTTTTCATCAATCATTTCCAACCAAGCAGCAAGAGGTCAAATTTAAGAATAAGTAATAGTTTGTCATGATTTTACGGAAAAAGTCAAAAGTATAATTTGTCAGAAAAAAAAATATGGAAAAGTCATTGTGTACAAATTAGGGCTGTCAAGTTAACTCGTTAACGCAAAAAAAGATTAACGCCACTAATTATTTTAACGCGATTAACGCATGTGTATTTTTTGTCCAATGCCGCCCCGTAGTTTCAGAGCGCATCGAGTTTAAAATACCATCTACAAGCTGATGCTGACAGCCCGCTCCTGCCGCCCGCTTGCGGCAGACCACACTTCCACGCTCACCGGCAGGCAGCATCGGGAGGACCGGAAGGGTGTGTTTATGTGTGGCCCGAGCGAGCGAGAGAGAGACCTTACGTGTATTGTTGTTGTTAGCATCTGGTGCTAGTTAGCTGCGCTAACGGATATAAGGAGCTGTTTAAATGAAAACAGAGGAGCAACATTTCGCCGACAACTGCGCCGAGCACTTGACATTATGCAGTTAGCCAGACAGTGGGACATTACGAAAAGTCAGCACACTCAGCACGGATAGTGCGCGCAACATGATTGCAGCGTCCAGGCAGCTCCCGTTCGAGCATATGCCTTGAGTTGCACATAGCTCCAACGATCCAACACACACACACATACACACACACACTTTGTATTGTATTATTGAATGAGAGAGGTTTCAGGTTGAATTGAGGCGAATATTTGTAATGTTCAGAGGTTGTTGTGTTTAATATTCATGAGAATATTTGTCATTGTTCAAATGATAATAAACATTTGCATAAAGCATATTTGTCCACTCATATGTTGATAAGAGTATTAAAAACTTGAAAAATATCCCTCTAAGGTACATTTAGAACAGATAAAAAATGTGCGATTAATTTGCGATTAATCGCGATTAACTATGGACAATCATGCGATTAATCGCGATTAAATATTTTAATTGACTGACAGCCCTAGTACAAATAGTATGTTGAAAATCAAAAAAAATAAACTCAATTCATTACAAATTAATGAATATTTTACCCAGTTATAAAGTTTTGCACCATTAAAGAAAACTCCATTCCTTACAAAGTACTTCATACCCTTTGTTAAGTGTTGCATACATCAAAGTGTATCTAAAAGTATCTTGGTAGCAGAAAATAACTAAAATATGTAAGGTTATCAGAAAAAACTCTACATTGTTTAACTGAACAAGTGTTTAAAAAACGGCCATTAAAAGAAACCGAATTCCTTACAAAGTACTTCATATTCTACCAGTTAAGTGTTGCATACATCAAAGTATGTCTACACTGAAAAAAGTGCAACGACTGTGTCATTTAATCAAAGTAATTTTTTTAATTGGTTTAAATCATGGTTTCCGTTTTTGACATGATTTTTTCCGTTTGCCCAGAAGCAAAACACACCCCCCCTGAAATGACTTAAAAACAATATTCAACCTAAATCGTTATTTTTACTTCCAAGCATGTCACATGACCACGTGACGTACAAAGCAAGGTGACTTCAAGATTTGCTGCAGCCGCCATTACACCGCTACCCCACTGTCTGTGAGAGTGTCTGACCCAAAAACACTTTTAAATAAGGTAAGGATTTGAAATGGTTGCTTTTTTAGTTTTAAACTATGTTTAAATGTTTATCCATTTAGTGTTGTTAAACAACTAATTTACCATCTGTCTTTGTATTTGGCTATGTGTTAGCTAGCAACGTTTAACCACGTGTAACCATTTTTTAAGGATGGCTTAACCCAGAGCTGCCAAGTCTCACCCTTTGAGAGTGAGAGTCACGCAATTTAACCTCTTCACACGCCTCACGCCACACTTGCCATTTCACACGCTTTTTTCCCCCTCTCACTACTTTATAATTATTTTTGTATTTAATGATATATTACCATAACTTGTGGCTTGAGGCTTGCCGTAGTTCGAGTCAGGGACAGGGTGAGCCCGCCCTATTCTGCCCCCGATTGGCTGACCGAGATATGTGATCCAATCACCAATCATCAGCCCTCGAGCTAAATCTAACCAACCCAACGAAAGGCACCACGTATACAAACCAATCAGAGGCAGCTTAGGGCGGGTCATTGCGTCTCTATCCTATGAAGAACAACCTAACTCTATGGCGGAGAAATAGAAAAGTAAACGTGAAACGTCTGTGTCAGCGCCTCAATAATGCCGTGACTGACATTTTCATCTGAAGCGGGAGGTCAAACGGTCGGTAACCACATTATTTTTACAAATATTTTTATTTTTATGAAGTCAACGGTGGGTCTGACTACGTGAGACTTAACGTTACACAGGCTGCTGGTGAGCAGTGTGGCAGGTTGCTGCGGTGGGTTTAACAACAAACAACCGTGACTAATAACAGTGTTAGTTAAATCATCACGTATTTGTGTGTGTGAGCTAATGGATACTTACTATGAGCTAAGGGAATTTACAGTACTGTACCTGTGCTGTTTGCATTTCTGTCTAATAAAATATTCAATCAATCAAACAGTTACATGTAGCTATCTTTTGATCCAGAGGATCTGACTGTGGATGTGGGATACTGGTTTAAAGGAAGCACCAATCGTAAAGGTTACCTGACAGGTATGTGCAGTCCAAATGAAATTCAGAAGAGTTAAATTAAATTGAAATTAAGATGTTCCATTCTTGTCATAGAATTCTGTGAGCTCCATGGAAGCGAGTATTTGGAAATACTTATGCACGTTTCCATTCGATGGAGAGGTGTTTGACTCGTACCCTGCAGCAGTATGATCCACTGGCCAGCTACTTCAAGTCATCAGGTAGTCATCATATTTCAATGATCCAAATGAACGAACGATTATTATAACAGACTGAAAAGTAAATGTATGTAGTATGCACAACCTGTGTTTTTTTTATTCACAGATGAGAAACAACCAAGGTTCAGGAGGCTGTTCGAAGCATTCTCTAACCCAGTGGTTCCCAACCTGGGGGGCGCGCCAAAGATCGCAGGGGGGGCGCCAGGCCTCAGATGATTTGAGGCCAAATATCATTTTTTTTTTTTTACATATAATTGTAACGCAATACATGATCGTCACTAACAGCCTTGTCTCTACATTACAATAAAATATAAAAAATAATTGATTAATTCATTTTAATAAAAATTCAAGTTAGTAGCTATTAAAGGCATAAAAAGACAGAAATGTATAATTTTTTCTTTAATAGAAATGTTTCTTCTGCCCGTAAAGTGTCCAAACCAGGCTTGTCTGGATAAGCGCATTTTTAAAACATAGTCATTGTCCATGCCGGTTTCAGTTGGATTATTTGTCACAGTTGCTCCGATCAGATCGGTCTCCTCCATTTTGTAGATTATTTACGACTTTTGAATCCACATAAACACATCGGCAAAATCCGGCTTACTTTGAGCATGTGTTTTAAACAGTTTAATCCCTTTGTGAATTGTTTCCGCTTGCGCCATCCTTTAATTTCTTCATTCAGCGGGAATCCAACTGAATTAATCCTGAGTCCAATAACCATCAAAGTCACTCCAATAGTGCTTCTTAATTACGCTTTCATCCTCCTTTAACAAAATACTTCACATTCATCCAGTTTGTGACAGTAGTTGTAGCATTTTTGAGACTTTGAAATTTGAATTACCGCTGCTGCTGCTGTGTGGTGTGTGTGTGTGTGTGTGTGTGTGTGTGTGTGTGTGTGTGTGTGTGTGTGTGTGTGTGTGTGTGTGTGTGTGTGTGTGTGTGTGTGTGTGTGTGTGTGTGTGTGTGTGTGTGTGTGTGTGTGTGTGTGTGTGTGTGTGTGTGTGTGTGTGTGTGTGTGTGGGGGGGGGGGGCGCAACTTCCAACAGGAGTCATTTGGGGGGGCTCTTGGGAAAAAAGGTTGGGAACCACTGCTCTAACCCAATGACAGAGGTGTACCTCCTCTTCTATCAAGCAACGTTGCCAGTCTTCTCCACCTTCAACCTCCTCCTCCATCTTCCTTCTACATGATGAGGTAAATTGGGAAGGTTGGGATACAGTATGGTAGTAATACAGTATGCTAGTAATAATGTACTATGTTTGTTCCTTTTTTCATTAGCACTCTACTTTTAGGTTAAATGTAATTTTGAAAATCTTTTCTGAAATACAAATTTGTAGATACGGAGTTTCATCCGCAAGTTGCTCTCGAAGTTTCTGAAGACCGCAGCATTGCAGCACCGGGAATTGTATGAAATCCTCTATAAGGACCCATCAAACCAACTGCCAGGTAATCCTCCAAGTTTCACATCAGCAGATGCACATACACTATCCACTTACTGATCTCACTCACATAATACTGTTTGTGTTTGTTAGAGGGCTGCTTGTGCAGACAAGTTATGAGTTTGATAATGTCATTTCATCTCATCACACACATAGTACCACAATGGAAACAAGTCCACAGGACTTTTTTATGTTATCCTTTTAGCCAGTGGCGGCTAGTGTAAAATATTTTTGGTGGGGCTATGGAAATGGTGACAACCATACTAGGGGGGTCCGGGGCGATGCTCCCCCGGAAGAACATTTTGAGAAATGACCCCTGAAATTATGACTTCTGGTGATGTTAGAGGGGGGGGGAAGGACAAATTGAGGCTTACAAATATGAGATAATCCCTAATCTTCAGTGTGGTTAGTGTAGTGGAAATTTGTATTCTATTCCTTATATGTTTAAACCAAATGCTTCTCATTTGTTTAGATGTGCTGTTTGCCTCTATCTTCTCTACTTCAAGGCCACAGAGCTGTTTTGGCTACTGAGTTGACTCACACAAAGTCACACGAGAACTTCTACAGCTCAAGGCCAGGTGTCTAATAACAATGTGACCGTGTGAAGATTTCTTACCTTCCCACCATTTTCCTCCCTTTATAAGCTTTGCTATCATATTGAACTGCGCACACTCGCGCAGACCATCCTATACTCTGTGAGACCTGTGTCTATATTTTATTGTATCTGATGTTTGTTCGAATAAACATCACCAGAAAGACAACTCTGTCTGGTTCACCATTTATTTGTTTTCTGACTTGTACTCTACAGTATTGGGGTTTTTAGATTTCCATAACAATTGGCGCTGCGAGCAGGGTCTCTGCAAGTTCGATTGGGAACACCTACGAACGCTGGTTGGTCGCTACAGGATCCTCGGATTCCCTCTACCCCGCGACAAAAACAGTACGGGATGAGAGGACCAGCGGCGGGGGTGGAACTGATTGACTTCACGAGACCAAACGGACTTAGAAAGGCTTTCCAATACTGGGTGAGATGTACAATGTCTAAATTGTTTAAAGTTAAACGTAATTAAAACTCCATGACGTTTATGAAAGGGGCTGCTCGAAGAGGGTTTATCCCGTCGTAGATAGTGGGTTTAAGATTAGTTTTTACGTGATTTGTACTGTGAAACAAACATCACATAGGGTTTATCCCGTCGTAGAAAGTGGGTTTACGATTAGTTTTTGTGTGATTTGTACTGTGAAACAAACATCACATAGGGTTTATCCCGTCGTAGAAAGTGGGTTTACGATTAGTTTTTTGTGTGATTTGTACTGTGAAACTAACATCACATAGGGTTTATCCCGTCGTAGAAGTGGGTTTACGATTAGTTTTTGCACGATTTGTACTGTGAAACAAATGAGGTGATTTTGTCATGGGAGCAAGGCAAAGTAGGGGGCTTGTACACCCTCCTGAGGGCCCGATTGTAGACGTCATGAGAGTAAAATATGGTGAGGACAGTCTGTCTAAATTAAATATATGGACGGAAATGTTCGGATTTCCTAAGGGAGGTTCTTTGAGTAAATTAAAAATCAAAAACCTAAGAGATAAATTACAAGAGTGTGAAGATGGAATAAAAAAGAAGAGCAGAATTAAAGGGAAAGACTTAGAAAAACTGGACAGTCACAGAAAGTGTTTGAAATACTGGGAAGATGAAGCAGAGTGCCGTGAAAGAAGGCAATTGGCTGCGGCAAAAAGAAAATATTAAGGTTGAAGATGAATGTGAAGAAAAGAAGGAAAATAAATTATTTCCAAAACCATGTAAACCCCAGACATCTCTGTGTTCTTCCATTGCAGGCCTGAATGACCTCTCCTCGACTGGGTATCCTTTCCCTCCCCCGGGGTACAACCCTGGCAATCCGGCTGGCCCACCTCAACCACCTCCACCGCCACTACAAGCCCCAGCCATGCAGTCAACTCCAAGCTCGCCACCCCCATCAGCCCCAAGTAGATGGGGACAACAGCGGGATAAACAAACCCAAGCCCAAGCAGGTGTTTGGGCAACACACCTCAGTAATGCCTTTCTCAACGGACTCACAGACACAGCGCAAGCTACGCAGAATGCTGGCCAGTCACAATACCGAGGGAGAGGCAGAAGAGGTTTTCCGAGGCAGAAGACGAGAAGCAAGACCTTCATTTGAGAAAGATGTTTCAAGTGTGGCAGTGTTGAACATTGTATTATGGGACTGCTCACAGAACACTGGCGAGTGGAGGCAGAGAGGGGGACAGCAAGGACGTCATTCACAATCAGACTGACCTACACCAGATGGGGAGGAGGGGACCCGATCGAGCGAGATGGAAATTCAGCCAGCATCATCGAACCAGGGAAGTGAATACACACACACACATCGAAAACATTGAAAATTGGAAAATGTAGAAGACATGCCTGTGGTTAAAGAGGGTACATATTTGAAATATAACAGTGAAACAGCATTTGAGAAATGTCCCACACTAACTTTAGCTATCATAGGTGTTGATGTTCTATAGTAAAAAGGGCAGATTTGCCTGATTGCAATTTAGTGGTAGATGTATGCACTCAATAGGAGCGGCTGGGGTAACAGTAAAGGAGAAGTTTTTGTATCACTTCAGAGTAGAGATAACGGTGATGATAGTCAATCCATTTCCCACATCAGTAAAAAAACAGTTTCTTTTATCCTCCGTCTGCCTAATACATTTACTGGGCAGAGATCTGATTCTCCGGTTCGGCTTAGATCTCATTTTTCAACAAATGAGGGTATTAAAGTCCGGCAGCCATCTCCTACGATGGTTCAAAAAAACTTTTGATGATAAAGAACTGTGTGAATGTGAATCAAATGGCTGCTGACATATCCTGATTCTCAGGCGTTGTTGCGGTTTGACTGATCAACGTGTTTTCCACCTGCGGTGTTCATGGAAGCTTCTTTTTGCATTGTACTAGTACTAACGTTGTTGATGATCCGTGTAAATGTGGTTCCCTGACCGGGAATGATGAGAGTTTTCTGTTAGAATGTGTGAATGAGGAGCTCATGCTTAAAACTATGCTTGAAGTTTGCTGCGCAGCTAGTTCCTGTTGCACACCCGCACAAACCAAGCTGTATCAAATCCCAGGGGCGGTCCCACACATTTCACTAGCCAGGGGGCCCACTGAAAAATGGAGAGATTTGGGTCCAATCGTTAAAGAATGGGAATCTGGTACTGATTGGACTTGCACAGACGACCCGTGGATTGAGTATTCCCCAAAACATGACGTGTTTAAGTACAGTATTGACTGGTCGGTTCATGTACTGCGTTCTCTGACACTCACAGGCAATGAGGACTATGTTAACCCTGTTACTGGCCCAGAGTTCTCATTTTTCAGTCATATTTCTGAGCTCCCCGACGCGCTAAAAACAGTACCGCAAATACTGTGGGCAGCTCACAAATATGACGTAGGGTTAATCCGCTCTGCGGAGCCGGTGGTTATCACTCCTAAGTCCACGTTCCGTC